TAGGTTTCAAAAGTGTTACCAAACGAAGAGAAAATCCAAAATCTGAACCGGTAGATGAGTAGAGCCTGACGAGAGGATCACATGGGTAAAATTTCGTCTCAATCGTTCCAAATTACCCTCCAATCAAGATCTTGAAGTTTCTCTCTCTAGCTCTTTCTCTCTCTTCATTTTTTCTCTCAACCAACAAAAGATGGTGGCTGACTTTTTTCTCTTGCACCAGGACCGAAGAATAATTGCCTTATGCGGCTACTTAATGTTCCGTCACATGAAGCCCTCAAATCTTAGTGACTTGTGTTTTGGGTTGGCCCACAAATGGGTTGGTCCACACAGGTCCAACAAAAGGGAAGTTTTATGACCATAGAACTAGAGAGCCACCAAGTCAGCTTTGCTCTCCTTAATCAGAAGATTTTCCAATCCCTCCGGCGCGGGAGGGAGGGATGGTAGGAGTTGAGGATAATGTGTGACAGCGAAGAAGAAGGTATTTTTTCAAGTACATAGCTTTAATTGTGAGGATCATAATAATGCTGAGCAATTAACGGATTTAAGTGTGTCTAACAATCAAAGAATTATCTCTTATGAACTCAAATAGAGTACTGATGTTTGAGAAATCTTACAAGGGCAATTGAAAAGAACACAACGAGAGCAACAGATGAACGCATCCTATCTTTGAAGTTTGAACAGCTCAAAATGAAACTTTGATGGTTTAAGAGCTCTTGGGGCTACGGCTATTTATACAAGAGCATAGCCAAGTGAAGCTAGCAAGACTATAGCATGGATCACGTGGCTGGTTGGTTCGATTTGAGAAGTTGCTGCCTTCATACACCAATCCACAAATTACCAAAAATTTTGGATTTTTACTAAAGGGCCAAAATTTCTTAAAATCATCCGTCGATTTCAAATATAGTACATTGTTAGTGTTTTCAAGACTCAATCTATTTCATAGAGATATTCACATTGTAATAATTGATGAATAAAATCTGTCACTATTTTGAAAATTTACAAGTCATTATTTTGGTATAAATGCATAGCCCCATTTCATTCAATCACATTAACAGAAGAAGTGGTGATAAAGAACCTAATAAAGATGGTTTTATCATGACCAACGTTCAATTTTCGTACAAGTTATCTAATGTGTTTGCAAATCATTTTCTTTTTTGCTTGTTGGGTCATGAAATTTTTACTGGAGGCACAGTTCTCTCTAACGCTACTACTCATCAAAACACAAATTTAGGTATCAAAACACTACCTGTTAAGGGAGAATGTGTTCATTGCCAAAAAATTCTAGCTTCAGGATAAAAATTGGCTTTAGGTGTTTTTAATAGCATCTCTTTGGAATTTAGCACCATTAGATACCCATAATTGACAATCTAGACAATTGAAATGTCATCTGGGAGTTTATGTTCATCTCATTGATTTGAAGCATATAATTGGTTGCCTCACATTACGTGATTGATTAATATGGTTTTAACGAGTATTTTGAAATTTGAACCAAACTGGTTGGTTCAATTGCTTGAACCAGGAAAAAAAAACAATTTTTTACTTCTTTTTTGTTGCATTTTCTCTTTCGATTTTATGATCTTTTAAGTTTTCATAAATTTTTTTGCCTTGACTCTGATACTAAAATCTTTCACCATAATAATTCTTTTTGAGCTGTGGATAATTTTTACAATAATAAATGCTTTCATAAATTTCTTTCGAATTTGATCATTACAATCTTAATTTTTATATTTTGTCAAATAAAACTTATGGATTCAATTCTAAACCATCATTTTTTATTTTAAATTTTAAATGTTATAATACTATTTTATGTGACATATAATTCATCCATATTTATTGTGAGAACTTGAGAATTTAGAAGTATTCTAGAATGGTGTAAAAAAAATTAAAATTAAAAGAATGAAATAACATATTGTACGTATATTGTAATTTGTGTGATTTGAATATATTATAGTTGAATAAATTACATGTTTAGTTAATTTCTTATAGAATCAAATGTGTGAGAATCTACAAGATTAAGGAAATACAAATAAGGTTGGGAGTTAACGAGTGAATTAATAAAAAATGCAGCCTTAGTAAACAAATGAACTAATGTTAAATGACCTAGCTAATCTTTCATCTTAACTAATTTACCATTCAACCAGCTAACTATCAGAATATTAGAAGCAAGAGTTAAGTGGAGGAACTTGGGAATTATCGTCCACCGAATGAAGAGGATTTGGGTGATCAGCCGAGAGAAAGTGAGGAAGGCTTCATTCTCTTGCTCCACTTCAGACCAACCGAGAGAGTAGAGAGAGAGCTCTGCATTTTCCTAGGCAACTAACTGCTAAATTCCAAGCGGTGGCTGAGGAATCAAATAGAAGGTTGCTTGCAAAGTCCAAGCAGTGACCGACCGAAAACAAGGAGAAGCTATCTGCCAATATCTTTGGGCGGTGGCCGAGAGGAAAACAAAAACTTCAATTCCTTTCCTTTTCAACCCAACACCGAGAGTAAAACTAAGAGAGTGGGAGAGAAAGGTTAGCTAGCTTCATCACCAACTAACCAAAAACAAGAAGGAGTACAGCGAGGAAAGCAGGAGAAGCTCGAGCTAGGACCTTGAGGAACCGAATCAGGGAGAGCTAGAGCAGTCAGCAATTTCAGATTCTAAGGAAAGAAAAAAAAAGGTAAAATTTTATGAACCTCCTGCTTATTTAGTGTAATTGAATGTTTAAGCTGTGTATAAACTTTAGCTAGGAAAAAATGAGTTCTTGGTTGGAAAAAGAAACTTTGTGCAGAACCGAATGGCAGCTGGAATTACTTCCGGGCATCCCACCATGAAGTACTCCTTCAACCTTCTTCGTAAGTGCTGCTATACTGATCTTCTACTGAATTTTATCAAGTAACAAAAGCACTTAGAATTCCTTTCATACATTTTCTTATTTTCAACCTTTGATTATTGGCAAAAAATTTTGGGCTTTATATTCGGCCAAATTTCAAGAAACATGTGAGCTAAAATCATGCCTTCCACATGTTTGAGAAAATGTCTTAGTTAAATTTGTTTTTTAAAAAAAAGATTTCTTATAGTTTTAAAAAATAGGAACAGCTTCGTTTGCGTCTTGTGCGTCGCTGGTAGGTTGTCTTCCACGACCATGTCTGCCCTCTAGCTGCCTGCTGGGAGGCGTCCCTCTCCTTCTCAAACCTTTGAATGCAAATCCTTTGCTGCTTTATTCTCAGCCGGTTCTTCACAACCGACTCTGACCATTCATATATCGCCTGCGACCCATAAGAGGGAACCAGCTCTCATGTTTTCACAGAAGGATCTTAATCGGCTAGCCACTCCTTACAAGTATGCCCTAGTGGGGAAATTCTCTAGGGAAAGACCAAAAATGGAGAAGATACGCAGGTTCTTCCTCCATTAGATTTACGAGAAGTTGCTTCGGTGGGTTTGCTTGACTTACGACATGTCTTCATAAAGCTGGGGAATGAAGTTGATTTTCATAGACTCTGGGCCAGAAGCACCTGATATGTCCATGGCTCTCCGATGAGAGTCTTCAAGTGGTCGTCGGCGTTCCATGTGGATAAGGAACCGTCTATCGCCCCCATTTGGTTCCAGTTCCAAAAACTGCACCGCAGTGCACTAGTTCAATAAGGAGGTTCTCTTTCAGATCATCTCAACACTGGGTAATCCGCTATTGATGGATGCGGCAACGTCAGAGACGACTTGTCCAAGTTGTACGAGAGTCTGTGTGGAGGTTGACCTGCTCAAGCCTCGGCCATCACATATATGGATTGGAAACGGCGAAAACGATGGGTTTTGGCAGTGCTTCATTCTTGAAAATCTCCCTCTATACTGCTCCCATTGTTTTCGTTGGGACATGGAGTGGAGGGGTGCTATGTCTTGCACGCAGACCTCCGGGTATCTAAAACGGAGGGTGAGAAAGCTGGGAAGTTTCGCCTGCAGCCAAAGGAGGTGCGCCAACGCAAGGAGACTACCCAGGATGAAGTGGGTGGGCATTTGGCCATAGTGGTCGCACCGCTGCCCGTGACAGTAGCTCCAGTGGAGGAGTCTTTCGCTACGGTAGTGGATACCAGTTTGTGGCTGGTGCGCAGGCGGAGGGAAAATGGTGCCACGGGCATCACAGGTGGGAGAAGTAGACCTAGTAGAGGGAAAGGCAGGCGGGGTAGCGAGAGTTTGGGTAGGGAGAGGGAGGAACATGAGTGTGTGACTACGCAGGCAGAAGAGAGGGCATTTGAAGGACAGCTTCGTGAGACAATGAATGGTACAACGGCGGCAGCATTTGCGTAGGAGGACCAACCACAGCAATGTCTGGTAGAGGGGCAACCTGATAGCTTGCGTGGGTGTGCAGAGAAATCGTAACCCAGCAGCGAATTGCAACTGGAGGAAATGGAAGATGAGCTGACCATAGAGTTGCGGGGAGCGAGAGCAGCGGTAGTGAACATAGAGGAGAGCGATGCGAGTGAGGAAGAGAGAGGTAGAACTCCCTCTGGTGGCAAGCACTTTGTCACCAAGGATAGTGGTCACAAGCATTTCTTCATCTGATGTTAGAAGGGAACCAGCAGATCAATGTGCAGGGGGAAATGAATAGGCTTGCTGCCGTGGCATCAGAGGACGAAGAGCTTAATGAGTTGTAGGGCGGGTGGGCAATTTGTCTCCAAGGGGAGAATCTAATAAAGTAAGGATGATTGGTGATAGTTTATCCTTTACTGCGTTCAATCTAGACCTGTTATCATATCAAACTCAACATTGCGACAAGCTGGGTCGCTTGCATTATCTCAACCAAAGAAAAGAGGTTCTCAGCTGCCGTTTTAGTCAGACCGCACGTTACGCTCTAAGGTGATTTCTTCACAAAATTCTTTTGCAATGTTATCTAATCATTAACTTTATCTTTTGGAACATTCGGGGTGTCTCACGTGCCTCTAATCTTAAGAGACTCCGTAAATTAGTTAAAATGCACTCTATCTCTTTGATAGCAATTTGTGAACCTAAGACCTCGATTGCAAACATGGATATGATTCGAATGAAGGTGGGGATGAATTTTTCTGTTGCAAACCTGTGGGGTAGCATTTGGGTGCTTTATAAATCTGTTTTTGATTGCCAAACGATATGTGAGTCAGATCAACATCTCACTTTAAGCCTCCGATCCCAATTATTGGCTGAGGAGATCTACTTTTCATTTATTCATTCGAAGTGTACCATCCAGGAGAGGGAAGGTTTATGGATCGAGTTGTTGAATGACAAGCCGGAGGTAAAACCATTTTCTTGTGGGGGATTTTAATGTTATCTTAAATACAGAGGAAAAAAGGAGTGGCTACCTTTTAGACATGCTCAGGGGATAGAATTATCATAGTTTATGTCATTGGCGGAAGGGTTCTTTTCTAGGTACACATGGTGTAACAATCGATAGGCTATTTTAAGAGTTTGGAAGCGGCTAGACAGGCTTTTGCTCAACTCAGCTACTATGCATATGGAGAGTAATATTTTAGTGCAGCACTTGGGGAGAGACCCTTCTGATCATGCTCCTCTTTTGATATCGACATCAATGAGATTAGATGACAAGCCACGGCCATTCAGATACCTAAATATTTAGACCACAAAACCAGGTTTTATGGATATGATTGAGGAGAGTTGGTCTATTTCCTCCCCTGGTTCCCCCTTTCAGTTTTGTCGGCTAAACTGCGACGGGTTAAACAGGCACTTAGACTATGGTTAAAGGAATCTATTGGTGACATCTTCTTAGCGATTCAGACAGCAGAACAGATGGTGCTAGAAGCTAAAATAGATCATGATAACCATCCATCAGAAACGTCGTTGGTGGCTTTACAAGAGGCACGTGCAAGATTGAAGCATACTTTGGTGATTGAGGAAGAATTCTAGAGACAGAAAACTCGTGTCAAATGGCTATCAGATGGGGCAAGAATATGAAACTTTTTTCACGCTGTGGTGACAGAGAAGAGAAACAAATCAGTGATTCATAGAATTAGGAAGACAAATGGTGACTGGGTGACTGACGAGTCGAGTATTTGTAATGAAGCTGTCTCGTTCTTCCAAAAATTGTTTACAAACGAGGGGGGAAGTCCTTGAATAACATACTAAACATTATTCCAAGTTGATCACTGAACAGGATAATGAGATGTTGACTGAGGTTCCATCTATGCAGGAAGTAAAGGAAGTAATTTTTTCAATGGACGAGAGAGAGTGTTGCGGGTCTGGATGGTTTCACGAGAAAGTTTTTCACGTCTGCTTGGGAGGTGGTCACTAAGGATGTTCAAAGGGCTATTGTCAGTTTCTTTTATGACACAACGTTGCCAAGAAGTGTCTCAGCTACTTCAATTGTTTTACTATCCGAGATACAATGTCCTCATGATTTCACTCAATATCGCCTGATAAGTTTATGCAATTTTATTCAATAAGGTTATCTCCAAAATTTTATCTTCCCACTTGGCAAAGGTTCTTCCTCACATTATCTCACTACAACAGAGTAGTTTGGTGTAAGGGAGACAGATGGCGGATAATTTTCTATTAGCGCAAGAATTATTGAATGATATTAATAAACCTAATAGGGAGGAAATGTGATGCTCAAGCTGGATATGATGAAGGCATATGATAGGGTGTCTTTTTTTATACGAGTGCTTCGTCGGTTTGGGTTTAGTGAAGTTTGGATCGATATGATATGGAGACTGATATCGAATGTTTGGTTTTCTGTCTTTGTCAATGGCTCGCCCCAGGATTTCTTTAAGTCCTCACGGGATTTGAGACAAGGTGACCTAATTTCGACAGCCTTGTTCGTTATTGGTGCAGAGGTCTTGTCCCGTTCACTCAATACGCTTGCGGAGTATAAAAGATTCAGACCATTCAAAGTCCCTAGAGGCTGTTCTATGGTCACACATTTGGCCTATGCAGATGACGTAGTCATTTTCACTAGCGGCCTTAAGGCTTCAATAACATTGGTCAAAGGAGTAGTCGATGAATACTGTGCATTTTCCGACCAGCGTGTTAATTGTCAGAAGAGTTGTTATTTGGTGCATCCCACCTTGTCTTTGCAATGACGTGCGATGATTGGAATGGTAATCGGCTTCTCGTACAAATATTTTCCAATCAAATATCTTGACTGCCCCCTTTATATTGGAAGAAGGCGGACGCATTATTTTGCCGAACTCTGCGACATGGTAATAGTCAGAATCCTATCATGGAAGAATCGGGTCCTCTTATTTGGGGCAAGATTGTGCTATTAAAGAGTGTTCTGTCTTCAATGCCAATCCACTGTTAGCAGTGGTTATCTCATTCGGGGAGTCATTGCTTCCTTAGAAAGGGTGATGGCAAATTTTTTGTGGAGTTCGATGAATATGGGCCAGAAATTTCATTGGTTAAGTTGGGAGAGTTATGCCGTCCACATCAGGAGGGCGGGATTGAGTTCATAGCTTGGCAAAGGTATATGATGCTTTTTCCATTAAACTTTGATGGAACTTTCGGCAAAGGAGATATCCTATGAATTTTTAACAACAAAATATACTTGAGGGGTGCACTCTTGTTTGGTAGAAGAAGGCTATTCGCTTTCTTACATTTGGAAGAGGTTATGTTCGATTCAACAGTTGGTAGAAGAGCATATTTGGTAGGTCATCGGTGAGGAATCAATGGATTTCTATGACAATTGGATGGGAACTGGAGCTATATGCCATCAGGTGGAAATTTTTCATGATCATATTGTGTCAGATTTTTTCTTCCAAGCGCAATGAAATATGCGACTCCTTAATCAAGTTCTAGACCCTGAGTTGGTTAGGCAAGTTGTGAAGATTCTCCCTTCATTCGTTCATAGTTCTGATAGGATGGTGTGGGTTTTAACGCAGAATGGTTCATTCTCGGTTTCTTCGACTTACACGCTTGTTTCGTAGGCTTCTAATTATTCATGGGTGGTTTCGCATGTGTGGCTGAAGCGTTTTCTATCAAAATCTCCTTCTTTATGTTACAGTTGCTACGTTGTGCGTCTTCCCCAAATGGACCTGCTACGTAGATTTGGGTACAGGGTCCATCTAAGTGTCATTGTTGTTCTGAGCCAGCAGATGACGAGGTTAATCACATATGTTTAACAGGGGATTTAGCTAAGGCTGTCTGGAATAGATTTGAGAGTGTCCTAGGAGATTTGGATATGGTGTCCACGTTGAGACACGTGCTGTTATGGTGGTGGCTGCGTAAGGGGCACAATGTGTATCTCAGGTCGTTTATCGTACATTACCTATGCTCATCTGCTGGAAATTATGGAAAGCGAGAAACAGGACTGTTTGATGGAAGGAAGGTGGCGTGGACGGAGGTGGCAAATCAGGTATTTCAATAGCTATGTAATTTACTACATTGTAATTTTCCGGAAATAGCATGTTCTTTCGTCTCTTGGGATGTTCTTCACTTTTCATTGATAGCTCAGAAAAGAAGGGTTTATATTTTACCGATTACATGGTCGGCTCCTAGGGCAGGGTATAAGTTGAATTCGGATGGCTGAACAAAGGGGAACCTAGGAGTTAGTAGGGGTGGGGGAGTTGTGCGAGATGGGGAAGGGAGATTTATTGTCGGTTATTCCTGTTTTTTTGGGTCATTGACCAGTTTACACGCGGAGCTCGAGACCATACTCTTTGGGGTGCAGCTCTGTGTTGCTTGAGGCTTACAAGACTTCCATGTTGAATCTGACTCACTTGTCTTGATGCAAATACTCCAAGGGACACATGGTTGCTCTTGGAGACTCCAACGGGAGGTGGCTGAATTATTCAGTTTCAAGCATCATTTTCGTGAGATAACCCATTGCTATAGAAAGCGAACAAACCTGCTGATTATCTAGCTAACCTTGGCAAAATTCAGAGTAAGAGGATGTTTTTGACGACTTTCGTTCTTTGCCAGCTACTGTCTGTGAGAGATTATCATGGACACTTTAGGTTTCCTAATTTTCGTAGAAAATTTCTATAGCTTAGCTAAAAATTTGTATTAAATAACTGTCATATGGATATTTTCATGAGATTGGGTTTGTTGGCAGGGAGTTTCGTCCATTTATAAGGGGAAACTCTGCCAAAATTTTTTAATTAAAAAAAAACTCTTAGTTAAAAAAACAAAAAAAAGAATGGCAGCTGGAAAGAAAATTGCAGAAATGGGGAATGGAAACTAGAAATTGTAGCTTGTTATCATGTTTCTTTGGAGAATAATGATAGGAAATGCATGTTCTACATTACCTTAAGTTTTATAAGAGGTTTAATCAGCTAAACATGGGCTTTATACATTGGGTTTAGCTACGAAATCAGTTCTGGTTCAAGGAAAACATTATACATCAGAAATGGTAACTAAGAGCAGAAACGAGCTATGGTTCTGTTTAGCTCTTGAAATCAGTCTCACTTTTGTTTAGTACTTGAGTTATACCTTACATGCTAGCTGTAACCTAAAACTGAAGGGAATCCTAAAGAACTTACAAATGATATCTTGTTGATATACGCATGCGAAAGCATGCAAATCTGATGCATGCATGGCACCAGATTTGCAGCTAGCTGCAGAAATGAAACCAAACTCAGTTTTTTTTTCTCTTTGAATCCTGGTCATGAACGACCTTGTTTAGCTTAGGATAACCTGCAACAAACAAGGTTAAAGCAAATAGAAAACTGAAGTGAACAATGGACGACTGTCGACTGCACAAAAAGACCTCATTGCTCCTGACCTGTTTTCATGTGGTTCTGGTCGTCCACTTTTGACCTTGAAAACATGAGAACTGGATGTCAATGTCTCATAAGAAATATAGGTCTATGTTTTAGGTTCGAAACGCTATAAAATTCGCCTCAATCCGATAAGCGTAGCTCCAATTATGATCAAAACACCCAAGGATGGTAAAGCTGCTTTTCCTTTTGTTCCTGAATGCACTTTGCTAAAATGCTCACCGTGAGGAACCAACTTTTAACTAGCATTTTCTCTAATTTCCAACTTTGTAAGATTTCATAAATGATAGCTACGGTTACTCTGAGATTTAATGGCTATATATAGCTCCACAAGTAGAGTTAAATTTGATAAGAGTTTATTTTACGTATTTTTAGTGTGTTTTATTAGTTAATTTTGGTTTGATTATTTAGTTTTATAACTAAAATAATTAAGGTTTTGGTAAAAAACTACATTTTATGTTAAAGTGGCTAAACATTGCATTTTATGGATTTTTATGGTAAAATCTTCATATTTTGTAGGTTTAATAATTCAATCATCAAATGAAGTGCATTGAGAAGATATTTGGATGATTGAAGATGGATTAAAGTGGTGAAAATAAAATATGAAGTGTAAAAAGGAAAAATGCAATTTGAATCAAGAAAAGTCAGGTTTTGACAACTCAGACACATTTTCGTATTTTGACTATATCTGGAGCTACACAGATCGGATCAAGATGATCTTGGTACCATTTTGAAGCTAAGAGATATATCTACATTTGGTATGAAGACATTAAAGTCCAATTCAGCCGTTTTCATAGTCCAAAAGTTGAAATACCGAAATTCAACTCAGCTGTCCAAAGTGGAAAACAGAGCTCTGACCAGTGTTTAGTATTTCGATCATATCTCAGGCTACAAAGCTCAGATTTGGATGATTCTTGAAGCATTGGAAAGATAACTCAAAGGGATACAACTTTTGTGTTTTACACAAAAACCAGTTCGGCCTTTATGATAGAGAAAATTGCAGTGGAAGTAAGGACAAAGTGAATACGCGAGTACACAAAACGTGACTTGTAACCGCGTTTTGTGTAGGCGCGTTTTCTGGCCGAAATTCTGCAATTTGTTCAGTCAACTCTCTTGTGTTCAGACTACTTTCCAGCTGTAAGTTGCAAGTGAATTTGGTGCACATGCTTCAGAAGACAAAAAGAGCATACAATATGGCTTATTCCAAGTCAAAAGTCATTATTTTTTTGACTCCTTTAACAAATTCAGATTTGGAGAATCATAGCAGAAATTTTGGACCAGTGGAAAGGCACCTGATATCAGTTTTATATAGAACAATCAGAGGGAGAAAAAAAGGAGAAACGTACGGGAGAGAGCTTGAAGTGCAGAAATGTAGTTCTTCCATTTCCTTTGTGTAGGATAGTTTAGCTAGTGTAGTTCATCCATTCTTGTATATTGCTAGACTAGGATTAAGATGGAGATGAAGAAGGCAAGGTGATGAGCTCAAGTGACATGGGTTGTATTCCTTCCAAACTCTTTATCTTTGTATTTGATTCCAAGTTTAGTTAATATACAAGTTCTGGATTTTGTGTTTAATATGTGTATCTAAAGTTTAAGCCTTGGGTTTGGTTGAACTTTCTATGATTGTTAGTGTTTATTATTTGGTTATTTGATTGCTATGATTTGAGCAAGTTATTTAGCACTTTGGCTTCTTAAATCATGATTAATCTGGTACCATTGATTGTGATGATCTAAGGTGTTGTTTCTGCAATGAAAATTGAGATTTAACACTAGTTCAAGAAGTGCTAAACATAGGGAGTACACTCACGAAAGTAGAGGTGCACTTATGTGGTTTTTAGTGATTTATTTCATGTAATTTCACTGAAGAAATGAACTTGTAGCTAATTTCATAACCATGAGAATAGGTATGGATTAGTTATAAGTATAATTGATTCACTACGAAAGTAGGATTCAAATGCATAAGGAAATTACACTATAACTAGCCTAAATGTAGTATTCAATGATCCAAATGTAGCACTTGCATGAGTAGTTAGGGATACCATAACCTAAGGAGCTTTTATTTGTTATTTTGTATAATTTCAGTAGGTTAAATTTCTTATAATTCATTGATAGTCTAAATAATAGAGAAGCTTTAGTAATACCGGTAATTGTTCACTCTTCCCTGTGGGATCGACCCGATATATACCCTAAACTACTAGTTGACCTGTATACTTGCAGTGAACGGGTATAATTCGCTTTTTTAACTTGTACGTATGTAAAATACCCGTCAAGTTTTTGGCGCCGCTGCCGGGGAAGATTTGGCAATATCGGTGTGAAAAGCAACTTTATTAATTTAGACAATTTCACTTGTTTTTGTTGGTTAAGTGTCTTGTTTGTTTTGAGTCTTGTTGAGTCTTTTATGTTTAATGTCTTGTTTTTGTATGTTTAAAGTCATCTATTCTTCTTGACTAAACTTGTTTTTGAGCTACTTTGAGAGCATGTTTAGGGGATCAAGGAGAGTAGAAAACAGGGGAGGACAATGCTTGAGAAATGGAGGTTTGACAATGGATGGTTACCATGTGCAAAGCTCCTTCAATAGAGGTAACCAAGAATTTACTGAATGTATGTCTTTTGAAGATGGTTTAAGGTGCTTAAAGGCAAAATTTGATGTAATTAAGTTGCAAGTTCAAATGGACACCATGATGCATGAAATTGAGCAGAGGAGGAATGTTAATGTTTTTAATTCTTATCATGTGATTTGTGACTTGTGTGGAGGTTATCATGCTACTAATACATGTATGCAAGCACAAAATGTGGATTATTATGATGAATTAGAGCATTACAATCCTTGTTTTGATCAATATAGTGCTAATTGGAGCAATTCTCCTGCTTATGGTTGGAATAATCAATGTACTTATAGTGATAATTCATGTTTTTATGATTACCAACCTGAAAGTGTCCAATATGAATCAAAACCATCTTGGGAGTTGGCAATAGAAAGGCTAGCTAATGCATCTTTGCCTTGGGAGTTAGAAAGTGAACCATTAGCTAATGATTCTAATGCATCTTGGGAGCTAGCTGTAGAAAATTTTTCTAATCAATTTGATTTAGCATTAGAAAAGCTAGCAAATGCAACTTTCGACCGTTTTGATAGGATTGAGGAAAGAATAGATGAATTAGCTTCTCACTTTGGTCGAATACATGAGCAATTGAGTGCATTGTGTGAAGTTATTTCCTCTAATAATTTGCAAAATGATCCTAGCATGAATGATGGAATGTTGTATGTGAAAATGGGTTGCATTTTGATGAAAATGATGAATCTCAAGAGTGTTTCAATGAGCAAATGTCCATTTCACATGATAATATCTTTGGAACTAACTTTGAATCTCAAGAGGTGAGTTTTAATGACTCATTTTTCACCCCTCTTGAGGAGTGCATGAAAGTACAGGTTTTAAAGTATTCCTGCCCAAGATACTTCATGACATTTCCTTTGGTAAGTTCTCAAGTGGTGCATATTCATGGTAATATCTATGAAACACTTGGAATATGTAAGTCACTTTCATTTCTCACATCATTAGATCTTGTGGCTTTTGCTATAAAGTCACCTTTTAATGATCCACCACGGCCTAAAATGGTGGATTATTCGTTAACTAAACCTCCTTGAAAAATGAGGTGAAATAGTCAAGCTATTGACTTTAAAGAAGCGCTTATTGGGAGGCAACCCAATGCTTGTTTAAGTTATGTTACTTTGGGTGATTTTATGTTTACAGTATGTTTGAGTTATTTTGATGTTTTTCATTTGTAGGTATTGGAAATGAAAGCAAAAGTGACCAAATGAGGTGAAAAAGGCGAAATTTGATCAAGGAACTCAACCCCTCAATTTGAGTATTGTTGTTTTTGATTGTTAGAAGGGGTTAAAATGCATATTTTGATCATTTTACATGTGCATGCATTGAGTATTTTAGCAAACAAATGATTTATGATGCATTTTGAGTGATTGGGATATTAGTT